ATTATATATGCACATGCACATTTTTCTATTCTTCTCATATTATTAGCATCCTTGCTGTGGAAGTGCAGCTCAGGTGTTTGCCGCTTACAGCCCTGGCTGACCCCCGTTTGCGTTGACCCCCGTCTCAAGGCTCCCGAGTCCTCCTGGGGCCCTCTTGCCCGGCGCCCCCCCCCTCACGCCCGCCCGCGCTGCAGCGCGCGGAGGGCGGAGAGCCAGGAAGAGCCGGGGGGGGTCGGCGCAGTGGCCCGGGGGGCACGTGCGCGGCTTGTGAGAAGAAGAAGAAGTTGGAGACAAAGCCCGCCAGATCGCCTGTGGGGCCATCAGGCTGCGCGGGTCAGGCTTGATGCTCCACGCTCCAGCTCCAGATCTCAAATCTCCCATGTCGTAGTCCTACTTTCTACTTCCTACCGTAAATAGTTTTGAAATCCGCCGGGGGGGGAGGGGGCCGTGAGAGTCGTGCCCCCGAGGCTGCAATCCGTCGCGAGCTACAACAAAATTCGCGCCCCCGAGGCCACGATCCCCCGTAAATTATATCAGATTCGCATCCTCGAGGCCAAGATCGATCCCTTGCAGATGACGCTTTATATGCGCCCTCGAAGCCAGAAGACCTTGAACAGTACACAAAATGTTCACGTCCTCGAGGCCAGAAACCATTGTCGAGAATACCATAGCTGCGTCCCCGAAGCCACGAGGCCCTCGTAAAGTACTCCATCAGTGCGTCCTCGAAAAAGGGAACGGGGAAGGGGAAGGGGAAGGGGAAGGAGGGGGAGGAGCAGAGCGAGGCGAAGGGGGGGGGCAAGCTCCTCCGCCTCCTCCTCCTCCTCCTCCTCCTCCTCCTCCTCCTCTTCCTCCTCCTCCTCCTCCTCCTAGCCGTTCCCCTCGGGGAACCCCCGAGGTGCGCAAGCGCGATCGGGAGCGGAGTTGCCTGCGCGGGCCGCGCGCCATGGGGGCGCAGCCGTGATCCGGATCTGCATCAGCGGAGGCGGAGGCGGGCCTGCTGCGCTCGCTCGCTTGGTTCGGGCTGGGCGAAAGGGCGGGATAGCAAAGGGGGGGTTTGAGAATCAGCTCACGTAGCTGGTTTTCCCGGCGCCTCCCAGCGCCAGGAGGCGCCCATGTATCGAGGAATGGGCCCGGCGGCGGGGCCGAAACCAGCTGCATGCAGCAAATTTCGTAACCCCCCCTTTCCCAATCCCCCCCTTTCGTCCGGCCCGATTGGTGGACATCCTGGAGGGGAAGGGTGACCTCATCATCGTGGTTTGTGGGCCGCTTCTTCCACAGCATGGCGGTCTCGAAGGCGAGGTCGTTCGCCCCTCGGGAGGTGCCTGGCCATCGGCTGCCGCGGCTGTCCCTGGGCTGCGGGCTGGCTGGCACGCTGATCGAGAAGAAGGGGCACGTGATCGAGCGTGTGACGCAACAGAGGGTG